TGTGGACACTGTGGTGAGCCAAGATGGCACCACTGCACTCCCGCCTGGGCAACAGAGCGAGACTCTGCTCCCCCACCCAAAAAAAAGTGGAACATTTACACTCAGGCAACATGAGATGGATATTAATATTCCAAGGTATTTATTTACGTCCTGATCCTTGGGAATCCTCCTTAGTCTTTCATTTTTTACCTTAGTTGAGTGAGTAGCATAGTTTTAGTTTTGGGGAATGCAGTTTCTTACAGCAAAGTCCTTCCTCCACAATAACATTCACCACAGCCAGGCCACCTAGCACAGTGGGCTGCACACAGTGCACACTCAGTGTGTGCGGAACTGGTTCTAATCAGGAACAAAACAAGTAGCAGAGGTCAGTTTTTCAAAGGATAGAATGTAGATAATACAGGTAGACTGAAAGGACACAACAGCAAACTGTTTTTACATTAATTTGAGAAACATTTTCAACTGGTTCTCCAAAAGATGTTGGTTTACACAGACATTTTGGGAGTATGGTTGCATATTGTAATTACCTGGAGAGCTTTAAATCACACCATTGCCTGGGTCTCACTCTAGAGATTCTGGCTTAATTATTCCCTTGCAACTTGGGTTTGGGAACTTTAAATACCACCACCAACAGGCACAGCAGGTTATTCTGATACGCAAGCAAGGGTGAGAAGCATTGATTCAGGATGAGAAATACATTGGTTGTGTTTGATTTCTAGGTGTGCTCTAGGGATTTATCCTATAGCTGCTCCTAAATGTGGGGTCTTAGAAAACATCTTTGCCCTTCAAAGCATACTCTTCTGGTTGGCTAAATTGCAGCAGGAAAAAATATCAGCAGCCCTATTGCTATGTCAGTTGCCTTCAGAGCAAAGTTTGTTTCAGGAACACTAATTTAAATAGTCTGCAAATACAAAAAACTACAAAGAGTTTGCAGATCTGTTGAGTGCATTATAGGTGTTTTCAAATTTCTCCTATGATAAGAAATTAAAAATGTAATGTTGGGCATTAATTTCCTAAAATCAATGCTCAGCAATTTTCTAAAATTGTTTCTAGTTTTTCCAAGAGACTTCAGCAGCATTCCCTGGAGTGAATTATTTCCAATTGTGAAGAGTAATGGATGGATGGGATGAGATTCTCAAAAAAAAACCTTGCTTCTATTTCAGAAGTGTCAATCTTCAGCCCTTTGAAGGACCAGGAAACCTGGTTGAGTAATGTGGTCTATAGAGGTGTATGGGCTTCAGAGTTAGGCAGCATTGATCCTGAGTCCAAGCAAGCTGCTTGGTAGCTGTGGGATAGTTATATAAGCCACATCTGCAAGAAAAGTCATAATAAAATTGATTGCAAAAACAGATATTTAAAAATATTTCTTATTGTATTCATGTCCCTAGAAATGGCTTTTATAGTTGTTCCCATCAAGAGACAGCTTCTGTTCCCTAAACTTGAATCTCTCTTGCCTTATTTGCACAGGCCGAAGCTGTGCATATCACAGTGTGCCAGTTTGTGGCCCAGGCTCAAAAGGTCTTAAATACTTCTGTTATCTTTTTCAGAATTCTTCCATCTCTATGAGAACAAGCCCATTTCAGCTTTCTGGAGGATAAAATAGCATGCTGAGAAAAGCCAAAGTGTGCCAGTTTACACACAGCTCACTCCCAGAAGCAGAGCCACCTAATTCACCAGGAGCTGACCACTCACACCTGAAGGAGCCAAACTGAACCCAGAAGAATGGCCCAGCTGAGCCCAGCCTAAATTTCTAACCAGCTCAATCCTGAGCTAGTATGTTTTCGGATTGTTATGCAGTTACAGCTTAGTAATATATAAACCCATTAAAGATAGGTTTCCAGGATTCCAGGACAGATTGATTATAAATAACCTGCAAATGCTTGACACTCTATAAGTATCGATTTTGTTTTTCCTTTATTTAAAGTTAAATTTGTTGTAAGATGATATTGACTTATACAGAAGTGGGACAGGAGAATAGGGTCTGGAGGCAGGGAGCTTAAGGCCAATTCGTACTGACTTCCTTAGAGAAAAAGCACCAAGGTCTGGGAGCAGGGAACCTAAGGCCAATTAATATGAACTTTCCACATTTAAACCAAAAGGTAAAACCTCATCTACACCCAAGTAGCAAAGGATCAAAGGCTACTGTCGCTACAACCCTCCCCCTTGCACCAGTTCTCTGATAGAAAAGGAGAGTGACGCCGGGCGCATTGGCTCATGCCTGTAATCCTAGCACTTTGGGAGGCTGAGGTGGGTGGATCACCTGAGGTCAGGAGTTCAAGACCAGCCTGGCCATCAGGGTGAAACCCCAACTTTAAAAAAAAAAAAAAAGAAAAGGAGAGTGCCTTGGAGTGGCCATGGGCCAAGCACAGGCCATGCCTTCATCTGCATAGGGTACCAATTCACCTCAGCCTTCAATTAGCCACGGTCCAAATCTTTCATTCAGATAATGGGTAGCTGATAGGGACCTCAAAAGGAGTACTTAAAACCCAGAAAACTGGCCGGGCGCGGTGGCTCAAGCCTGTAATCCCAGCACTGTGGGAGGCCGAGGCGGGTGGATCACGAGGTCAAGAGATCGAGACCATCCTGGTCAACATGGTGAAACCCCGTCTCTACTAAAACTACAAAAAATTACCTGGGCATGGTGGCGCGTGCCTGTAATCCCAGCGACTCAGGAGGCTGGGGCAGGAGAATTGCCTGAACCCAGGAGGCGGAGGTTGCGGTGAGCCGAGATCGCGCCATTGCACTCCAGCCTGGGTAACAAGAGCGAAACTCTGTCTCAAAAAAAACAAAACAAAACCCGGAAAACTTTGTAACCGGGTCCTTAAGCTGCTTGCTGGGGCCTACACCCACCCTGTGGAGTGCTTTCTCACTTTAATAAACCCCCACTTTTGCTGCTTCATTCCTTTGTGCGTTTTGTTTGATTCTTTGTTCAAAATGTCAAGGATCTGAATAACTCATATTCACGGCCTTCCTTCTGGGAACAGAAATGCAGGTAGATGTGGATGCAGGTGATTGGTGCTTAAACTCACACAGTGCCCCACACCACCGGAGAAAAACATACAGTTACAGCCTGACAGTTAGGTCCAAAGGCAAATAGCAAAACAAGAAGTTTGCCTTCAATCTATACCCTCTACATCTAAACTCTAGAGGTCAAGGCTGTGAAGAGATGTGAAAACATGTTGCTCTCTCCTTCTGGGGCCCCATCATTCTTTGTTTACGGTCTGATATTTAAAAAGAAGAGGAACCCCTGAGAGAGGAGGCAGTCAGAGGCTGGTTAGGAAGACAGGGAGTGAGGGTCTTGGGAAAGGAAAAACACACGCAGGGCTGCACCTGCACCACCCATGTAGCTAGTAGGAAGAAATACTGTTGAGAGCTTCCTCTTATGCTAGGATGTTGCTCAGAAGGGACTGTCCCAACTTAGGCCCAGGTGTAATAAATCAACCTAAATGTCATTAACTTGACCAAGCTCCTTATAATGTTATTAATATGACATAAGTATTTTGGTTTTAGCTTTACCCTTTTCACCTGCTCTGGGTTTTGCCTGGGCACTCATGGGTAATACCCAAGATGGAGATACTGTGGTCAACCCCAGGCATGCTCAGATGCAACACCCTTAGTGGGGAATTTTACCCCTCCCATTTGGGCAGAACCTGCAGAAGACTTCCTTGTTTTTGCCACATAAAAGACCTAGAACTCAGCTCCATTTCTGGCAACCTGCTCTCATGTCCCCTCTTGCTGAGAGCTTTCCTTTTGCTTAATAAATCCTACTCTGCTTTACTCTCTGGTATCTGTGTGCCTTATTCCTCTGGTCAGGGGATGAGAGCCCGGACCTGGCTTAACTGAGGAATCCACCACAACAACACCAAACAGCAACTGGGAGACCGTGGTCTTCACATGGACACTCTCAGCTTGCAGCCCATGATCTCTCTAGGGTCACTGTCTCAACCATCCTTAAGCCCGAGGAGAAAAGCTGGTAGACAGGCTGTTTCCTCTCTTCCAGCAGAAATAAGGTGTTCAGGCCCACACTTCCCTGAGGTCAGAGCCCTTGAGGCTGCACTTGATGTGGCAGCCACTTGCCATATGCAGCTACTGGGTACCTAGAATATGGATGTTTTGAAGTAAAATGTGTTGCAAAAGTAAATTATACAGTGAGATTAGAAGAATTAAATCAGAAATATACTTTATTTCTAATTAAATATCGATCACATTAAAACAATAATATTTTGGATAAAATAGGTTAAAATTATTTCACTTGTTTATTTTTATTAGTTTTGATGTGGCTAATAAAAAATTGAAAATTCACAAATAGCTAACTTTTTTTTTTTTTTTGAGAGGGAGTCTCTCTCTGTTGCCAGGCTAGAGTGCAGTGGCACGATCTCTGCTCACTGCAACCTCCACCTCCCAGGTTCAAGCGATTCCCCTGCCTCAGTCACCTGAGTAGCTGGAACTACAAGTGAGTGCCACCTCGCCCAGCTAATTTTTTTTTTTTTTTTTGGTATTTTTAGTAGAGACGGGGTTTTACCATGTTGGACAGGATGGTCTTGATCTCCTGACCTCGTGATCCACCCGTCTTGGCCTCCCAAAGTGCCGAGATTACAGGCGTGAGACACCGCGCCTGGCCCTAACATTTTATTTTTTAGAGGATTGCTTCCCTCTTAAAATCTCAGGTGTCCTCAAAAGACCAGAGGCCAGAAAGGTTATGAAATATAAAATATTAAAATAGTTGTCATATTGTTTCCATTTGTGAACAAGAGCGTGTCTGTGTGTGCGCACGCGCGTGCGTTCACAGTTTATAAATGCGTGTAACCTTACACACCAGAGGGTTAAAAATGAACCCCCAGCAGAGCCAGGCTTAGCACAGAAAGCCCTGCCTGAAAGTGCCTGCAGGAACGAGTCTGTCACGCTTGCCTCATTCAGTGCACTGTATGGTCGCAATTTCTGTCACTCAAAGCCTGAGGGCGTGGAGCTTGGAGCCACGTCCAATCAGGGCGCTGGGCTGAGAACTGCCCAATCAGGCGCACAGCCGGAGGAGAGAGGGCGGGATCCGGGATCTGGCGCGGCTTTTGCTCCAGCCCGAGCTCGGTCAGGGCCTCACCGCCTGCTTCCACCCCATCAGGGAGGCCCCGGTGATTCTGCCACAGCCTCGGCCTCCGTCGCTCCGTGAGCTGCGGGCATCGGATGATTCGTAGCTAAGACTCCGCGACACCCTGAAGCCCAGAAATGGTGAGTGTGCGGGGCAGGGCGTCCCGAGGCTGGGGAGGCCTCATCGGAACCGGCGGGAAATGGCGGCGGCGGGACCGAGTCTGTGAGCCGAGTCCCGGCTGCCGCAGCTCAGCCGTCGGTCCTCAGTCCCCTCCGGTGAGGGACCCGGGCTCCCGTCGGTCCCCGCACGGCGGCTCTGGCCCAGCCTGCAGCCCTTCTTGTGCAGCTCTGCGCCCGCAGCCCGCAYCYTCCCCGGGCTGTGAGGTGAGGAGGAGCTGATCGGGAAGACGCCGGCGCGGCGTGCGCGGTGCCTGCGTGGGAGGCGCTGTGGTCCKGGGTCCCGTCCCTACTGGACCCTGTTCGGAATTAGAGGGAGGCTCYGTGAAAACATGGAGTTCCTGTGAGCAAACGGGGACTCATGGATGGGACAGCCCCGGCCGTGGCTCGTGGTTTGGGGGCTGCCCGCGGGCCTTGAAGGAAAGGCTTTTGTGAGGTGTGTGAGGGAGCGAAGCGAATCACCCGCCCGCCCCGACTTTCCCGCCAGTTCCCTCGCCCTGAGCGTCTCCTCCGCTTGGCGTTCCTGAGGGGCATCTTTTAGAATACACCGGCGGAGGTGCGCCCAGCGCTTCGCTGAGTTCTGAGTAGTTCTGCCACGTGATTGAACCTGAGGAGGGTGGGGGCGCCCTTGGTTTGTAGGCGGGCGTTCAGAAATGAAGATGGGTGTCCAGAGGCAGGGACTGGCGTCTGCGGGGGACAGCTGCGGGGAGAACGCTGAGCTTGTGGGGTCGGCGCTGACTCTGGGTGGTGTCGTTAGTGAGTTGCTGGACGTCCCGTTGGGGTGGAGCATTGGCTAGTGTTGAGCACGTTTTCTCTCAGAAGACAGACGTGGCTAAATCTGGGCTGGAGGGAGATGCGGGTGTCCGAGGGAGACCTGGCAGGGTTCTGCACATGCGCTGTCCTGTTCTTCCAGGTCTCCTCCAAGGGAGAGAGGGAACTGGAAACCTAGAGGAAAGGAGTTCTGACAAAATCGCTTCCCTGCACCCTGCTGCCAGCCCTCACCCACTAACCCATTCCTGAGCACACCCACTGGGCATTTGCATGGCCACATCCCTCCCCGGAGAGAGTTCTACTATCAGGAATTGTGCCCTTTGCCAGCTTTGCTCTTACAGTTTTCTCCTAAGAACACACATAATGGCCAGAAGACCTGTAACTGGGACTATGGGTGCAGGCCACCACGCCCGGCTAATTTTTTTTTTTTTTTTTTTTTTGTATTTTTAGCAGAGACAGGGTTGCACCGTGTAAGGATGGTCTCGATCTCCTGACCTTGTGATCTGCCCGCCTCGCCCTTTCAATGTGCTGGGATTACAGGTGTGAGCCACCTGTAATCCCAGCACTTTGAAAGAGCCTAAAAAATTCCTGTTTTTTAAATTAAATTCATCACATGATTCTACCACGAGGCCGGGGGCAAGCATGAGGGCTTCCAGATACTTTAATGAGAAGTGAGTTCACCCTTTGTTCCAGTAGGTCACACAGAGCCTGCTCTGCTTGGTTTTGGGTGGGGGCAGGTCAGTGTAGCCCATATTTCCACTCTAGCAAGAGAAGTGACTGGCATGCCCTCCTTTTTCCTCAGTTATATAATTATTTAGAGAACATTACTGTGTTGAAAGTTATTTTATCAGATAATTCCAGTCAGTCCCATAAGTCAGAACTAGCTCTCTTAACTCATTTCTCCTGTTGTCAAATTAAGAACTGTCACCTGGGCCAGGCGCGGTGGCTCAAGCCTGTAATCCCAGCACTTTGGGAGGCCGAGGCGGGTGGATCACGAGGTCAAGAGATCGAGACCATCCTGGTCAACATGATGAAACTCCGTCTCTACTAAAAATACAAAAAATTAGCTGGGCATGGTGGTTCGTGCCTGTAATCCCAGCTACTCAGGAGGCTGGGGCAGGAGAATTGCCTGAACCCAGGAGGCGGAGGTTTCGGTGAGCCAAGATCGCGCCATTGCACTCCAGCCTGGGTTAACAAGAGCGAAACTCCATCTCAAAAAAAAAAAAAAACTCACCTGATAAATATGTATTTTCAGGAACTCTTAACATTCAAGGATGTGGCCATAGAATTCTCCCCAGAAGAGTGGAAATGTCCAGATCTTGCTCAGCAGAATTTATACAGAGATGTGATGTTGGAGAACTACAGAAACTTGGTCACCCAAGTGACCAAGGGTGAGGATAACTTTAATATGTAATACCTAATACTCCCCAAGAGTTTTATTTTTTTCCTTTGTAGAATGTCTCTTGGGAACTTCTGCTTTGCGTGGATTAATTTAAGTTTCTTTCTTCATGAAGAAATTGGGAGTTTGCTGATGTGAAAAAGAAAATCTTTTAAGATGTCTCATCTTTACCTAAACCTTCTCTTTTCTTGAAGTAATTTGTGTCCTTCACTCTAGATTAGTTGGTAATTCTAGAAATTCAATGTTATAAGATATTATTTTCCACATCTTAAAATCCAGTTTGTACCACTTATTTTTGATTCAGTAGTATTCGGTAGCAGAACTCAGAACCCACAGATTTAAAATACTTATATATTCTAAAGATTCTGTCAGGAATCTTTAAAAAAAAAGCAATTATTTTAATTCATTTTTTTAAATCTTCCAGAATTTCTCTTTTCTGCGTAGCATAGTACTATGTTGGTAATTAGAGAATCCTCAGCAATAGTCATGTTAATTTTTTTTTTTTTTTTTTTTGAGACGGAGTTTCACTCATGTTACCCAGGCTGGAGTGCAATGGCGCGATCTCGGCTCACCGCAACCTCCGCCTCCTGGGTTCAGGCAATTCTCCTGCCTCAGCCTCCTGAGTAGCTGGGATTATAGGCGTGTGCCACCACACCCAGCTAATTTTTGTATTTTTAGTAGAGACGGGGTTTCACCATGTTGGCCAGGATGGTCTCGATCTCTTGACCTCGTGATCCACCCGCCTTTGCCTCCCAAAGTGCTGGGATTACAGGCTTGAGCCACCGCGCCCGGCCTTTTTTTTTTTTTTTAAATAGGTGTTGCTCTCTCTAACTCAGACCGGGTCACCTGTTTGGAGCAAAGAAAAGAGCCCTAGTGGAAGACATGTGAGACAGTAACTGAAAGCCCAGGTAGGTGAGAGTGAATGAAGGAGATGACACAGGCAAGTGGACCAGAGGTGAAGAAGGAAGCCAGGCCTTAGAATGTATTTGGAAAGCCCTTCTCCAGTGAAAATAATTTCTGAAAAGGCTGCATTTTTTTTTTTTTTTTTTTTTTTGTGGGGGGGACGGAGCTTCGCTCTTGTTACCCAGGCTGGAGTGCAATGGCGCGATCTTGGCTCACCGCAACCTCCGCCTCCTGGGTTCAGGCAATTCTCCTGCCTCAGCCTCCTGAGTACCTGGGATTACAGGCACGCCTCACCATGCCCAGGTAATTTTTTTGTATTTTTAGTAGAGACGGGGTTTCACCGTGTTGACCAGGATGGTCTTGATCTTTGATCTCTTGACCTCGTGATCCACCCGCCTCGGCCTCCCACAGTGCTGGGATTACAGGCTTGAGCCACCGCGCCCGACCCATGAAAAGGCTGCATTTTTTCTCATGTTCACAAATAGGGGCATCTTCAGTCCATGGCGTTAAATATTCTAAGAATTCTCTTTTTTCTTTAGTGATCTCCCTTCAAGTTTACAGGGAAAGCCAGTGTCCACTTTATCACTTAGAAGGGGCTGCATGATCTGACTGCTGTTTCATTGCTTTTGGAGACATAGGAATATTTGTGTTATTGAGGAGCTCTATGTTAATGTATTTTTTTCAAATATTGTTTTTGCATCATGTCTAAAATATGTAAGGCAAGTAGTGGACATGTTGGGATTTGGTTCAGAAATCCTAGGAACACCAGGGACAGATGTTGCATCTTTTCTGCTTAGTCTTTTTTTTTTTTTTTTTTTAAACTGAGTCTTGCTATGTCTCCAGACTGGAGTGCAGTGGCACGATCTCGGCTCACTGCAACCTCCGCCTCCTGGGTTCAAGTGATTCTCCTGCCTCAGCCTCCTGAGTAGCTGGGACTGTAAACGCCCGCCACCACACCCAGCTTATATTTGTATTTTTAGTAGAGATGAGGTTTCAGCATGTTGGCCAGGATGGTCTCGATTTGTTGACATTGTGATCCACCCGCCTCCGCCTCCCAAAGTGCTAGTATTACAGGCATGAGCCACTGCACCTGGTGCCGCTTAGTGATTTTTAATTCTATGGCAAATTTAATTCTGCAAAAATTCTTGTCAGCAACTTTATCAGAATGATAAGCATTTTCCTAAATACAAAAAATGTAATGTTGATTGTTCTTCAGATTGTTATTGTTTTAGTAGAAACTGAGATTTGTAATTTAAACTCTGTGTAAATTTTCAAATTATAATATAGTTTAAAGCGTGGGTTTCCAACCCTTTGGCTTCCCTGGGCCACATTGAAACCATAATTGTCTTGGGCCACACAGAAAATACACTAACACTAATGATACATGATGAGCTTTTAAAAAAAAAGTTAATGAATAATTTTTATGATAACTACCAGAACAGATAAGCAAAATGTTCTTACATTCATAGGGTTGGACACTACTTGAATAAAGTATCTACTCACCTTCTAGATTTCTTAAATGTACTGTCATTAACCAGCTTAGAACATTGCTAAGTGTGTATTATTATTTCTTAATAACAATTATCTTATAATTTTAGTAAGAAGCCTACTGGGATTCTGTCATTGAAATCTGTATATAAAAATGTGGGTGTCACACATACACAGACCTATATAAGTTATATATGTGTACTGTAAATTCTCACTTAACATTGTTGATACTTTGAAGCAACATATTAAGAAAACTTTTTGGCCAGGCGTGGTGGCTCACGCCTGTAATCCCAGCACTTTGGGAGGCTGTGGCGGGCAGATCATGAGGTCAGGAATTTGAGACCGGCCTGGGTCTCTACTAAAGATACAAAGAATTAGCCAGGTGTGATGGCATGCGTCTGTAATCCCAGCTATTGGGAGGCTGCAACAGGAGAATCCCTTGAAACCAGGAGGCGGAATTACCATAGTTTAATTGCATATAGTAACATTGTTTTATTTAAAGATGCAGTTTTTGAGAACCTATTTTGAACATTGAGGACTTACTGTACAACTGTGTTTGTGTGACATGGATATTTCTAATAAAAATTGTATAACTATATATTTAATGTGTACAATGTAATTATTTGATATGCATAAACATTGTGAAACAAAATACAGTCAAGTTGATGAACACATCTGTTACCTCAAATTTTTTTTTTGTGGTAAGAACACTTAAGATCTGCTGGTGTAGCAAATTGTAAGCATAAATTGCAGTATTAATAACTATAAACACAGTGCATTTGGCTAATCTAATGCGAATTTACATTAGATTTCTCAGACTTGCTTAATTTGTAACTAAAAATTTGTACTCTTTGAACATCTCATATTTCTACCCTCAGGTACTAACCACCACCATTCTACACTCTGCTTCTGAGTTTACTTTTTTGGATTTCTCGTCTACCTTAAAACAAGCAGTTTCTTTGTCTTTCTGTGTTTGGCTTATTTTATTTAGCATAATGTCCTCCAGGCCTGTCCATGTTGTAAATGGCTAGATTTCCTTCTATTATGGCAGAATAGTATTCTGCTGTCTATATATACATACACACATATCATATTTTGGCTATTATAAACAATACTACAATGAACATAGGGCTGAAGATATTTCTTCAAAGTACAAATACTATTTCCTTCGGTAGGATGCCCAGAAGTGGTACTGCTGGGTATGATATTTCCATTTTTATTTTTTACTGGTTTTTATGATGACTATTTATTTACATCTCACCAACAGCATACAGATTTTCCTGGTATGTATGTCTTTATTGGGAAAAAATACATAATCTTTTTTCTGTTTTTGAATGGGTTATAATTGTTTTGCTTTGAATTGCATAAGCTTATTATACATTTTGGAAATTAACTTCTTACTAGATACATGGCTTGATTTTTCTATGTTGTAGGGTTTAAAAAATTTTTTTTCTTTGCTGTGCACAAGCTGTTTAATTTGATACAGTCTCACTTGTTTGTATTTTTTGTTGCTGTGCTTTTGATGTCTTATCATAAGTTACTGTCAAGACCAATGTCAACAAGATTTCTTTTTTTTTTTAATATGTTTTCTTCAGGAGTTTTAAGGTTTCATGTCTTACATTTAAGTCCTTCATTTTGAGTTAATTTTGGAGTATGGTTTAAGAAAACGATCTACTTTTATTTTTTCACTTGTGGATATCCAGTTTTTCTGGCACCGTGTATCAAGAAGACTGTACTTTCTGCATTGTATATTCTTGGTGGCCTTGTCAAAGATTACTTGACCTTGTATTCCTGGTTTTGTTTCTGGGCTCCCTATTCTGCTCCGTTGGTTTTTGTATCAATTTTTATGCACATACTATACTCTTGATTACTATAACCTTTAAATAAAATTTGAAATTAGAGAGTATGATGCCCCAGCGTTGTTCTTTCTCAAGATTGCTCAGGTTATTTAAAGTTTTTGTAGGTTACACTTATATTGTACAATTGTGTTTTCTATTACTGTGAAAAATGCCACTAAAATTTTGATAGGGATCATGTTGAATCTGTAGATCATTTTGGATAATATGATACTTTGACAGGGTTAGTTATCCTAATGGAATATGTTTCCATTTATTTGTGTCTACTTCAATTTCTGTCGTCAATCTTATTGTATTTAATGTATATATTTTTTATTTCATTGGTTAAATTTATTTTAATTAAATTTCTTTTTATACTATTGCAAATGGCAATTATTTCTTTTTTTGGAAAGTTTACTGTATGGAAATGCAACAAATATTTGTATATTGGGCCAGGTGCTGTGTCTCATTTCTGTAATCCCTGCACTTTCAGAGTCCAAGGCAGGTGGATCACTTGAGGACAGAAGTTTGAGATGAGTCTGGGCAACACAGTGAGACCCTGTCTCGGAAAAAAAAAACAACAAAACCAAAACCCACAAGTATTCGTATATTGATCATGTATCCTGATACTTTAATGAATGCATTTCTTAGTTCAAAGATTTTTTGTTGTTTTACTCTAGGGTTTTATATATATATATATATATATATATATATATGCGCATATACATACACATATATATATGTATATGCATGATCATATTATCTACAAACAGTAACATTTTTACTTCTTTTCCAAGCTGGAGAGCTTTGTTCTCCTTTTCCTTGCCCATTGTTCTGAAAGAGACTTCCAGAAATAAGGTAAGATAGAAGCTGTGGCCCTGGAGGCAGACCTGCAGATCTTGGCCTCAGCTGTGGTCTCTGAAGCAGCCCTGTGTTTGTACATTTGAAGGATCTAACAATGATTATAGTTTCTATAAACTATATTTGACAGGTAAAGATCTCCTGTTTGTTTGATCCACAGGCTGATGATATTATTACCTCTGAGTTTGCAGAGAAGGGTTGTAGCTAGGTCACAAGGATACTGCTGGGTCTAATGTGGGGTCTGCCTTTGATGGTTGTGTTACCAGAGATTTGGACAGTCATGGATTCTTCGTAGGCTCTGGAAAGATTAAATATCCTTGAGGACATTAATCTATATGGTAGGCAGTAGGGTTGGGTTTTGAAGTTTGTCTGCATATAATGGACCAAATACCAAGTGTGTGAATGGGTTTGGCTTCTGACTACCTGGGAACAGTTTTCACAAGTCTCTATGTGGTTCCCAGAGTGTATGCAACTAGCCACAGACTGTGACTGTGAGGGTTAGAACTGAGTCACAGGTCTGCTTCAGGGAGCACAGCTGAGGCCAAGATATATAGGCCTGCCTCCAGAGTTTTGGCTGGGTGTGTCTCCCTGCAAGTCTCTTGATGGGAAGGACCACTTGTGGACTTAACTGAGAGGAGTTTGAGATAGTTGCAGAACTGCTTCATAATTTTCAGTAAGACAAAGCTTGGTGCACCATTTCCCTATCTGTAGCCATGTCTATGGGCCCTTGAGTTGGCCACCTGGGTGAGGGCCTGCTTTTCCTAAATAACCCTCCTTGAGTTCTGGCTCCACTGAGGTTTCACAACTCGAACCATAGGCAAGCATCTTTCTAATTCTGTTTCCTAGTTTACTACTTAAAACATTGTATAAAAGTGGAATCATACACTATCACTTTGTTGGTGTCTTATTTCTCTTAAAATAATGGCTTTAAGATTTATCCTAATTGTAGCATCTGACGATATTTTTATTTGAGACTAAAGAATATTTTATTATATGTATAAACCACATCTTTTTAAATCATTTATCCATTGAAGGATGTTTGAGTTTTTTTACCTTTCGGCTTTTGTAAATGATAAGGTTTGGATCTGCGTTTTTATTCAAATCTTATGTCAAATTGCCATCCTTAATGTTGGAGGTGGGGCCTGGTGGGAGGTGATTGGGTCATAGGGTTGGCTTATCATGAATGGTTTAGCTTAGCTCTTTTGGTACTATCTTGCCATAGTGAGTGAGTTCTCCTGAGGTGTCATTTTTCAAAAGCATGTGGCACCTCTTCTCTCACTCTTACTCCTGCTCCTACCATATAAGATGACTCACCGTCCCTTCGCTTTCTGCTATGGTTGGAAACTTTTTGAGGTTTCCCCGGAAGCAGAAGCTGCTGTGCTTTCTGTACAGCCTGCAGAACAATGACCCAGGTAAACCTCTTTTTTTAAAACAAATTACCCAGTCTCAGGTATTTCTTTATAGCAATGCTGGAATAAACTAATGCAGTGTATATTGCTGCAGTAAACTAGGATGTACAAATATTTCTTTCAAGTACACTTTGCATATTTTGAATAGATGCTCAGAAGTGGGGCTGGGCATGGGGGCTGATGCCTGTAATCCCAGTATATTCTTGACACCTTTGTCAAAAATAAGTTTGCCATAGATATATGGATATGTCTGCATTCTCTCTACTGTTTCACTGATCAGTTTCATGCTGTTTCAATTACTGTAGCTCTGTAGTATCATTTAAAGTGAAATACTGTGATTCCTCCAGTTTCTTTTTTTCTTACAATGGCTTTGGCTATTCTGATTCTTTTATGGTTCTGTCTACATTGTAGGATTGTTTTTTCTATTTCTGTGAAGAATGGCATTGATGTTTTTCTAGATGTTGTAATAAATCTGTAGATTGCTTTGGGTAGTATGGACATTTTTAAAATGTTGATTCTTCCTATTCATGAACATAAAATATTATTCAGTTTTTTATCTTTTTAAATTTCTTGCATCAGTGTCTTATATTTTATAGTACTCATTGTAGAGATTTTTCACATCTTTGCTTAATTCCTAGATATTTAATTTGTGGCTATTGTAAATGGGATTACTCTTTTGATTTCTTTTTCACATTGTTCACTGTTAGCATATAGACACACTACTAATTTTTTATTTTATTTTATTTTATTTATTTATTTTTTAAAGACAGAGTTTCACCATGTTGGTCAGCCTGGTCTTGAACTCCCAACCTCAGGTGATCCACTCGCCTTGGCCTCCAAAGTGCTTGGATTACAAGCGTGAGCCACCACGCCTGGCCATCACACTACTAATTTTTTAATCCTTTTTTTTTTTTTTTTTTAAAAAGTCTCGCTGTGTCACCCAGGCTGGAGTGCATTGGCATGATCTCTGCTCACTGCAACCCCTGCCTCCCAGGTTCAAGCAATTCTCCCGCCTCAGCCTCCTCAGTAGCTGGGACTACAGGCGTGAGCTAATTTTTGTATTTTTTTAGTAGAGATGGGGTTCCACCATATTGGCCAGGTTGGTCTCAAACTCCTGACCTCAGGTGATCCGCCTGCCTCGGCCTCCCAAAGTGCTGGGATTGCAGGCATGAACCACCACTACCAGTTGGCTTTTAATCTTATATCTTGACTAAATTCAATTAATTCTAATAGTGTTTTAATGAATTAGGTTTTTCCAAATATAAGACCACATCATCTGCAAACAAAGATAATTTTACTTCTTCCTTTCCAATTTGGGTGCCCCTTTTTGCCCTCTTATTCCTCTAGTTAGCACTTCTAGTATGATTTGAATAACAGTGGTAAAAGTGTACATCCTTTGTGCCTCTTCTTTTGTCTTCTTCAGATACAGACACCTTATCAGAATGGTTTTGGGTTTAGGCTCCCAACTTTACAGGGTAATTTGTCCTCAGCCATCCTTTTGTCTTTTCCTGGTCCTAAGCTTCAGAACTGTCTAGGGACGATCTCACATGCCCACAGTAGCCATGTCTCGTGGAGTGTTTAGGGAATAATAGTTACTGCACCATTTCCTTATAGTGGATGGCCTGAGGTATGGGGTGGACCCTCTCAGGGGAACTGCTAGGTGCCCTGGTGCTCAGAGCACGCTGTGGTTTACACTTCATTTAAAAAGCCACATCCTTGTGACATTAAGATTTTCTTTTTCCCATCCACTTTCCATTTTTTTGGAGACACATTGCTGTTCGGCCAATGGAATTCTGATATTGAGGGGAAAGGCAGAAATAATTTCCACCATCTGGATTTTTTTCAGAATTGTGAAGGAAGAAAAAGATAATATCCTTGAAGACAAAGTCCATTCTAGCAAGATGGTGCAAGGACCTGCCCAAAAAAAAAAAAAAAAGTATGTACTCCAGGCACACAGGGGGATGCAGTGCAGAGGCTCTTGGGGTGGTCATTGAGTACTTCAATGAGAAGGATGAAGGTGGGAGGATGTACATAATAGGACAGAAAACCCGACTTGACACATGAGTCAGACATATCATTATTTCAGCCAGTACTGCCACTCCTTGGGTTTGTTATCTTGAAAAAATTGTTTACTTATTTCAACTTCCATTTTTATTAATTGTACAATGCATTTTATTGATAGAGCTTGAAAAATAGGAAAATATTCTCAAAGAGGCATAAAAATGTGAATTCAAAAAATGTCTAGTGATTTGTTAAAAATTTTTTCATTTTTCCCTTGAGGGTGTGTAATAAGTTTTTGAGATTTGTACATTTTGGGAGTGGTTTCAAACAGAACCTAAGGGCTTTAGTTATGGGAATGTTACTGGGTAAAAAAAAGTAGGAAACATTTCCTTTATGGGTAGAGACGTGTACCCAATTTTTCGGTACACTTCCGTAAATCACCAATTTATCTGGTACATCTTTGTAAATCACCAATTTATCTACCATAATTTCTTATAAAAAAGTATACCCAATTTTTAGAAGAAATTATGGTAGATAAATTGGTGATTTACAGAGATGTGCCAAAACATCAGTTTCTCTTTTCTGCATGGTGGAGACTTTGTGATAAAGAATAAGTCTGCTCTGTATCCTTTTATCTGGATGTCTGAATTTAATGTTAAATTTTATGGAATAGGACTTGACATTCCTGATAATGTTCATGTATGATTACTTATTTGTTATTATGGAAATAATACCTAAACGACATGTTTATTGTCTGAAATGGATATTTTGACTTTTCTCATTGAAGTATAAAATGTAAGCGCCTTACAATCTCCTTTCCTCCTATAAATATAAGCACTGAGGTTGAGGAATTTTGCTGGATTCTTTAAACACTTGAGTTATTTTATATAAAAACTAAGTGAAAAACTGGGAATCAGAGACCTAAGCCTATTGACTGCAAGGCAAGGCCAGTCTTGACTCTGCCAAAGGAGGTCATCAGTAGCCCAGTAGTTTCTTGCTGGGGAACCTTTTCTGCAGGTGGTCCAGCCTGGCTCAAATTAGACATGAAAGGAGCCTTTACATTGAGAAGCTACAGGTCCCTGGAAAGCTGGGTATCCACAGGCAGATGCAGTGAGAGTTGGGATGGGAGGAGGGTTGTGATGTCCTCTGAGAGGGTGTAATTTTTATTGTCATGAGGCTGTTTCTAGATATCATCAAGTAAAAAATATTGATATAGGAAAGAAGTGACTTTATTCTAAGGAGTATTGCAATGGAAAAAGCACAAAGCATAAGACCTGCAAGCATGTCCAAAATGAGGCAGATAAGGGCTGGTTTCTCATATGAAGAGCAAACAAGATTAGAAAGAAGGTGGGAGAGAGGAGAGAAAGGAGAATGTTTCACCCTGAAGTCAGCCTGTTTTTGGGAAGGGAAGGAAGAGGGGTTGTATGCTGGCTGAGACTGAAGGTGGAGCCTGAGGGAAGGAGAGAAACTTGAGCAGTTTAGCTAACAAGTATTCTGCTCTGAACACTGAAGACACAATTATTTAATTGTTTATGAGGGAAAAATGAGAATGTAGAGCCTGTGAATTTGTGATATCTAAAGAGGGAGCATCATCAAAGTCATAATGAAAAGGGTATTTCTTTACAGTAAGCTTTTCTTGCAGAGAAAAGCTTACTGTAAGGAAATTGGAAATTACTGCAAAGGATTGGAAAGATGTATAACTACCACAATTCACCACCCGCCTCATGCTTTCCCTGCTTTTCTTTCTCGTATACATTTTTTCCTTTTGGCTTTTACCGAGTTGTATCCAGTATAATAACCTGGTAAACATAGGTAAAGTGTTTTTGAGTTGTATCCAATATAATAACCTGGTAAACACAGGTGAAGTGTTTTTGCCAAGTTCTTTGTAGTTTTATCAAATCTTTTAACTTGAAGGAGGGAATTATGGAAGCCTATGATTTATAGACAGTTGCTCAGAAGTAGCAGATGGGCCCCTGGGGCTTGTGACTGCCATGTGTAGTGGAAGCAGTGTTGTGGGGCTGAGCCCTGAGTTAGCGGGTTCTTTGCTGACCCTGGGTGTTGTCTGAATTGAGTTGTTGGATGCCCAGTTTGTGTTGGAGAATTGGTTGGTGTTCAGAAAACTTCATATATTTGGTGTTAGACTAAAGATACTAGACTGGGTGCGGTGGCTCACGCCTGTAAACCTAGCACATTGGGAAGTCAAGGAGGGCAGATTGCTTGAGCTTAGGAGTTCAACACCAGCCTGGGCAACATGGCAAAATCCCATCTCTACCAAAAATCCAAAAAAAGTAGCTGGGCGTGGTGGCACACACCTGTATTCCTAGCTACCTGGGGAGGAGGTGCTGAGGCAGGGGAATCCTGGGTGGTCGATGCTGCCATGAGCCGAGGTCACACCACTGCACTCCAGCCTGTGTGACAAAGTGAGGCCCTTTCTCAAAAAAAATAAAGATTTCCCAGCAGCCTTGGCTGAAGGGAGACACTGGGTCTGTTGTAGAGTGGAGAGGTTTTTTTGTTTTTTTCTTTTTCTTTCTTTCTTTTTTTTTGGCTCACAAGCTGTCATACTGTTCTAGGTCTCCTCCAGGGGTCAAAGGGGACTGAGGACCTAAAGGAAGGAGTTCTGAGAGCAGACTCTTCCTTCCACCCTGCTGCTACAATGTGATTTCTGCATATTCACACACATGCATGCTAGGCAATAGTGTGGCCATGCTTCTCTCATGACAAAGCTTCACTCAGGAATTCTGTGTCTGCTTCTAGAGTTTTCTACTAAGAGGCCACATAAGTGTCCAGAAGGCTCATGGCTTCTTTATCCCTTCCAGATCTTGAATCTGTACCAGTAACTCTTTCCTGCAGTAGTCTAGGCTTCTGGATCACCTGACCATCTTATCTTCCTGCACGCACACATTTATAAGTTAGGTACCCTGTCTGGGCCAGTATCTGCAGCACTAACCAGTCCTTTCAGCAGCTGTGCACTGACCCTTGCCCATGGGTTCTTGATAGCAGCTTTTCTTTCTTTCTTTCTTTCTTT